TAAAACAAAACTATTGGATTGTAAACGGTATGAAACTTATTCAGTCTTTTACCCATAAATGTATTGTTTCTCACAGATATAAATTATCATCTAATAATTAATGGGAAACTAAAAAAACAAAGAGTAACACTTCAGAGACCATTTTTTAGCACAGGTATTGATTATGCCGGTCCTGTAATTTTGAAATGTTACAAAGGTCGTTGCCTTAAGACCACTAGAAATTATATAGCTTTACTTGTATGTCCAGCTTCCAAAGCTTACCATATTGAGGCAGTTAGTGACTTAACTGCAGATTCTTTCATTGCTGCTCTTGGGTGATTTGTATCAAGGCGTAGTACACCTCGATATTTATGTTCGGATAATGGTACGAACTTTGTTGGGCCAAAAAGAAAATTGTCCGCATTGGACACTCTGCTACTTTCACTTAACTGCAATGAACTGTAAATTATTTGGCTCAAAATACTATGAAATGGAAAATGATTCTACCTGCTTCTCCCCATTTTGACGATTTGTGGGAGTCAGGAATCAAGTTCATAAAATTTCATTTGGAAAGAATGATAGGAGAGACAAAGTTAACATTTGAGGAATTAACTACTTTACTAAATCAAACTGAAGCCGTGTTAAATTCATGACCATTGACTATAACTAATCACACTGATATATCTAATTTATATGCCTTGACTCCATCACATTTTTTAACTGGGGATGTTTTACTAGCATACCAGAACAGAATTTTTCTAATATTCCCAACCACACTTTATTAAAAAGATGGGAATTATTACAGCAAATGAAACAAGCTTTTGGAAGAGATATTATAAGGAGTACTTAAATTCCTTACAACTTCCAAATTTGTCTGTAGGTGATATTGTATAGGGTGCGGCAGCGTTCATAGCACAATTTGACTTGCGTAGCACAATGGCGTACTGCCTGAATGCGTGCCAGCTTGTGCCGCATTCGCGTACTAATGAGCTGTCATTTCGAGTGTGACAGTGATATGGATCATTGGAGAGCACAGCATCATGCCTTTGCTGTTGAAAGTTATTTCAAGAATAACTACTCGGTTATTGCTACCCAGCGACTATTTCATCAACATTTCAACTTGGAACGTTATGGGAAAGTTCCAGATGGACGGACCACTGCGACAGATATTTCCAGGTAGAGTAATTTCCTGGCCACCTCGCTCACCTGATCTTTCATGTGCCGACTTTTGGGGCACCTGAAGCAAGACGTTTCCCGAACACGTTGTGGCAACATTCCCAAGTTGAAGGATCGCATCCGAACTACTGTTGGCAATGTCCCAGGGAATACATTACGCCGAGTTATGGCAAGTTTCCAACACTGCCTAGATGAATGTGTTATGCAGAGGGGGTATCATATTAAAAAGTAATCCACGCAATGGACAATAACTTACACATTAGTAAATGGCATACCTTTAACTAATAATTGACATAAGAGGTAATAAATAAATTACAGTTACTGCCTTATGGTGTGCTTTTAATATCCTACTATGAACGCTGCCGCACCCTATATTAATTTAGGAGGACACCATGCCTCCTGGTGTTTGGCCATTAGGTAGCATTATTGAAATCCATCCTGGAAAGGATGGCCATGTTAGAGTTGTTACAGTAAAAATTGTCAACAGCTCTTTTAAAAGACCTATAGTAAAACTATTGCATCAGGAATGATCTATTGTTAATGCAATGGCAAGGGTGGGAGTTAATGTTTAGAGGTATATGTAATATTTGCATTTCTTTTTTTCTTTTGCTTTATTCATTTTCTTAGTGTTCAATTTTATTTTAGCATTTATACAATAATTTTGTTACTGGCAACATGTTTTATTTTACTACTGAGTTTTTGTGAACAGCAACAGTTGTTCATGTTTAATTTTTGGTAGAACAGTGTGGTTAGCCACACTGTGCTGCAGACATTTTTCTGTTAAAGAATATTTCATGATTCAGAATGTTAATAAAGTTTGTCTACAAAGCTGATTCTTTTTAGTTCAAGGCAATTACGAACCTTACTGACATCTCAAAATTAAAAAATGATTTGTCTGATATTAGCAAAGTTGATGACAAACTTCTGGTGGAAAGTTCACCCCAACAGATACCATCGAAAAAGTGGACATTACTTATACACCAGATGAATCGCTATGTAAACAAATGGGAGGAAAAAACCTGTCTTGATAACTCATCTCAAAATTTATTACTTCCGGCTAACGGGTCCAGCTTCAATAAGATCAATTTGTGGAATTATTAGTTGGGAACAATTAAAAGACCATTTGTTAGATGAATTTTCGGATAAAATTAATAGCCTTCAATTACATTAAATAATGGAATCTCTTCGCATGAAACCATTCAAAACTTCACAAGAATAATTTTTAGCCATGAGAGATCTCACACATAAAGGTTCTACTAATGATTTTCCTCTGATTAAGTATGTTCTAAATGGTATTTCTCATTCATCAAACAATAAAACAATTTTGCATGGCTGTAAAGTCACTCCTGAATTTAAAGAAAAAAATTGATGATTTACAAACATTCTTTAAACATTCTTTTTTCAGTTCAAAACATTTTAGGCAAAATACTCAGAAATTTCAGACTATTGCTATAGTTCTAAAGTACAACCACATCCCCCCATATTTATCTATCTCTCTCTCTCTCTCTCTCTATATATATATATATATATATTAACAACTGAACTGGTAATGCAAGTGACAAAGAAATTCATATAACTGTTGACAAAGTCTCCCGAGTCTAATCAAATACAGCTGAACAGCCAAAGACAACTTTTCAATTATTGGCTAGACCAGTGGTTCTCAACCTTTCTTGTTTAATGCACCTTTTTCACTACTGGTAGAAGATCATTTCCCTTGTTTCCCAAATTAAAAAAAAATACATATGCCTTTATTTGGATTATTTTAAACATGCTTTTACAAATTAAACAAACAAAATACATAGAAAATGTTGACAAATACCAAAACTTAAATAATAGTTTTTGGTAATCGTATGGTAAAACTAAATACAGTGGGTGATCGGTTAACAAACATAATCCGTTCCAAGATTATGTTTGCTATCCGAATTGTTCGTTAACCGATCACCGATTTACCATATATGTTAATGGGAATTCGATTAATTCATTCTGGAGATTCTAAAATTAAATTTTTAAAAAATGTCATGTACAAGTATAATTTCTTAGCAAGTTTATTTATTACAAATATAATACATACATATAGTCTTACTTATTATTCAGTTCTTTTCCTTTCTTTGGGCAATAAAAAACATGTCCAATGTCAGTTGTTTTTCTCTCTCCTTCAGGACTTTCAGGAAATGATTGATAGCAATGTCGTTGTAGAGATCAGCAACTTATTGACATCAACTTGGTTTGGGTGCCATTTTAAGACCATTACTCTGACATCCTCCCACTTCTTCAAAAGATCTTTAATGGAAGATGTTGGCATTGCTCCTCTTTCGTCTTCTTCTTTTTCAGAAGGAAACACATTTCACTGAGTTTCTTAAGTGTTCTTCATTCAAGATTTCTTGGAGTTCTTCTGCCGTCAATTCACCTTCATGTTCCATTATGAGCTCTTCAATATCACCCTCGTTCACCTCCAATTCCAGATCTCTCACAGTTGTTACAATTTCATCCATAATTTCAGGGGTCTGCGCACGTGCATAGGCGTTTACGCATACGCGTAAGACATTTACGGCTGCGCATATGCGTGTGTGCATGTGCATAATACGTTTACGCATGTGCGTTTAACGTATAACGGATGGTATAAGCTCTAATTCTCTATTTCAGTTAATATTGCGTTGTTCCTTAATCTTTGAATTGGATCCGGCTTATTATTTTTTGCAGACTGTTGGAGCAATTTTATAAAAGTAAGCTTGAACTTTCGATTATGTCAAATAGAATTTCCGATGCTGGAGCTCCCAAAGGATCTACACAAAGCGAAAGTATGTTTCGATGTCCATCAAACAAAAAGTGGAATTGCTGCAAAAAATGGATAAAGGCATATTCTTTGTTTATCTAACCATTCCGAAATCTGTTTATCAATTTCACGCTGCTCTGCGGCCGGGGGGGGGGGGAATGATGCGGAGCGCAATGAATTGGAAGTTGATCCATCAGCATCTTCAGGGCAGATGTTTTTATTTTATTTGGCTTATAATTCGTTACTAAATGTAGTACTTCATCTCGATGTACTCCGTCTTTGATGTGATTTAAATCAAATTCCTCGTCATTATAATTCACTTCCGATAGTGAAGAAAGTGACACAGAGTTATTGAAAACGAAACAATTTAGATTGACAAATTAGTCGGTATTTTCGACACAGCAATTATAGGACTTGAACAGCGGAACTTTGTAACTAAACAAGAAATTATGTCTGTTTAATAGAATTAAAAAGAAAGTATTATCACATGAAAGGAAGCAACTTAAACTACTTACATTGAAAGAAATGTTTAATAAAGTAAACAAATAAGTATTAAGCTTTTTCTTTTTGTAAATTTTGATACCCTTTAGATCATAATTGTTCTTTATTTCATAAATTACGGTTTCATATTTTTAATTTTACAATTTCTGCATGCCATCTTACCAGATTTAAACTGATGATCTATAATCTGGAAAAATCGATAATCCGGAATCGCTGAAGTCCCGACGAGTCCGGATTAATGACTTTTGACTGTATTTTAGGCTACTTCACTACCTGAATATTACAACCATTGTTTTCTTATACCTAAATATAACATGGCTATAACTACTGATCAGAATGAATTTAGGTTTTTGATATTGTAAAAAAAAACATAGAAGAAAATTAAATTAGGGTATTGGACTCAAAATATTTATTTTAAACACATTCATTTATGAATTTTCTTTAATCAAAAAACATTTAAATTATATGTTATTCAACTACTCAATGAAATACAGTTTTCATTTTAAAACAAAATGAAAGGGCAAGCAATTTTATTTTGTTGATATAAATTTCGTATATATAAAAAATATACCTTTTCTACTGCCTTCTTATTCACCAATATTTTTCCATATACACTCTTCATAAACTTAGAGAGCACATAACCAAAAAAACGAATAATTCGAAACTGAAAATTGTGAGCCATTTCATCTACTATTGCTCTAGCTCTGTCTTCAATTTCTTCTTCCGCACAACCTTCTTCATTGCTAACCTTATGAAATAAAAAGAAATACATGAAACAAACAAACAAACAAAAAAATTATTTACTTTTATAAATTGAACTTTTTCAAACATATTATTAAAGCAAAGTTTCTAGATTTTCAGAAAATCAAAACAACTCTTAAAATTTTGAACAGAGCACAACTGAATACACATTAAATTTTGCTTAACAGAATTATGTAATTTAATATTTAATCATGTTATTTTAAAATTTACATTATAGATCTTACTTTCATATCTTTAGATTCCACTGTACTTATTGTTAACTTTTTTTCAGTTTCAAAAGAGTCTGCACCTCTTACCAAGATAACGTATATTTTCTGCATAGTTTGGAAACCATAGTTCTCAGGCAAAAGAGTGATGAATAGAGCTAAAAAATTCTACATGTATGCATATACACCCTTGTTAGCTTGTCCCTTACAAAGCTTTATTTTAAAAACAGGGAGCTTTATTTTAAACCTGATATGTGATGGAATCTTTTATGTCCAGCTTCATGAGAAAAGATTTACACAAAATATACACAAAGATTAAAAATTTTTAATATTATAACACCTTGTTTCAGCAGTCCATTTGATGCTTCTGAATCATCCGTTGAAAAGTATGGGTACTTTTGTATTCATGACATTCCTAGCCTAATGATCCTTCTGAACAATTGAAAGATGCAAGGGTACTTTTCCATTTTGATGGCGCAAACGATAAAGTCGCCAAAAATGGTACAACCAATGCCAAACGGAACATCCTCGCTGGTAACCTTTTACACCTCATTTTCAAAACAAGTCACAGCCATTTCTTATCAGATTGATTGTTTCTTTCAATACTGGCATACAATTACATAGAATTTTTACCAGATAGTTCCAATTTTATGCCCTAAAGCCATTCACAGCAATTAAGTCAATTAGCATGCAATCACACCGCTTACTCGAAAGCATAGAAAAGGCAAAGTCAAGAGTGAACTTCATCAATTCTAATGAGAATGCACTAGCGAAGTAAAGCACTGCGGTTTAAAAAATTTTTGAGTAAGCTATTCGTACGAATTGAAATAATGCTTGCATTTAAACTTGCATTCCAAATTAAGATTTAACTTGAAATTAATGTAGATGATTATTGAGACAATTAGATTTTTGTAGCGTAGTTTACATGAGATGAGATCTCTTGGGGTCACGTGATATGAAACGGCGAATCATAATGTTGTACCATGAAAGCATAATAAATTCTTAAATTAATGCCTTTTACAAATTTATTGTTTTTATTTATTGTCTTTTTACAAAATTTTAAACGACATTAAAATGTTTCTGTTTTCAAAATAAAAATTTCGGTACTATTCGGTTTTGACGGCCGAAAAAAATTGCAGCAAAAATGTATGCGCAAAAGCGCCAAATCTAGCAAACACGCCCATTTAACAGCATGCCAAATCTAGCATATGCGCTGATTTCAGATTGCCCAAGTTTTTATAGTTCTATATTTTTTAAGACACCACTAAAATACTAGTTTAATTTTTAAATTTTTTTTTTTTTTTTTTTTTTTTTTTGATATCCTATGGATATAACAATTTGGGAATTGCCCATGACGAAAAGTCTGCAATAGAATTTTGGGTAAAGTGCAGAATCACCCACTACTTGATGCGTTTTTAAGAATTGCACATACTTGGTATCCATATATATACTTAGACCTATTTTCACTTAAAAAAATCCCAGAATTGCACAAAAATGGCACTGCGCACACCCTTGACTTTATCTATGTACACATCGACCTATTTTCACTGTTGCCAATAAAGTCTCCTTGGCGAGATTTGCGCCGGTGAAATGGAAAAGTACCGATGCAAGATCATTCACCAATTTATTGCCAAGACATTAGACCAGTTGAGCAAAAAAAGAGAAAAGAGATTTTATTAAGTTAGAAAAATGTATTACACATAGCTCTGAGTATGTAATTTGAAGAATGTGTCAGTGGAATAGCTTTATGCCCTCAGCATGTAATCCTATGAAACTGAATATGCAAAAAAAAAAAAAAAAAAAATTAATATGTCAATATGGAATAAATTAAGAAATGTCAATATGGAAAAAATTCTTAGAGGTGACACTCATACCTTGAGGCAAAAGCCTGTCATGATAGACAGGACATGTCCGCCTAGTAAAAATAAATTCATAGGAGTCAAGATTGTAAATTTCAAGGATAACTTTATTTTTTAATTTGATTACTAAAATATGCTTCACAATGCTCAGAAATGCCCCTAAGATGTCCTTAAAAGCCTAAAAAAATGCTTCAAAAGAGGAAAATATTCAAAAAATGCATATGTCAACAAAATCTAGGCCTTACTGATCATATATGAACCTGTCTTCATTCTGCAAATCTATCAAAACAAGAACATCACTAATCACATTTTCAATACATGGCTCTGTAATAGAGGTTGTATCTCGTTCTGTGGTATAGTTATTTCAGAAGGCTTGAAATAATGATATTCTTGATAGTTTAACCTTTTTTTTTTCTTTGCATTATTTGCATTCTTTGTACGAATACAATACAACCTGCTAAACTGTCCACTTTTTCAAAATTAAATCTGAATGCTATATTTACTTTTCTCATTAAACTGAAACCAAACTTGGATTTATTTCTGTTAGTGAAAACAAATGCTAATGTGGTCTTTCATAAAAATGAAATGCCATTAAATATTTTTTTCTTAAAAGGAGTCACAATAGTTAACTATATATTCTGTTTCGGCGAAACACATAATGGTATTTAACCTAGTTCGACACTCAGTTTTTTCCCTTGAAAAGCCAATTGAGGGTACGAGTGGGTTAATTTACCATTTTCCGCTATGTAATTATTGTATTTTTGTATTGTTGCAATTTATGTTTTCATTTTAATTTTTGCATTTTATGTACTGGCATTTTTTCAGTCCATATATTTTATTATATTTATTAACTTTTCTTATATATATTTATTATTTTTTTTCCGCCATCTATTTTTATGTGTGTTAACTTTTCACATATCACAACGGTCAGATTGATTTTTTCGTGCATTAGCATGTCTTCCAACATTAATTTTGGCAGTTTTTTTTCGCGTTTTTTCCAGTTTTTCCAGACAAAAAATTTCTTCTTAGTTTATATTTTAATAATACAGCGTTGAAATACTTCGTGAAGCTACAGCTCCTGGTAACTTTTTAGCAAGATCGCTGCAATGTTTCTACCTACTACTATTATTTCATATCTTTTTGCAGCATTATGCGCAAAATATTTTTAAGACCAAATAGGTCTTACGTCTAATTACTTGTTAGCTTTACAATTTCTTTTTCAATTAATTATTATATATATATATATATATATTATACAGAATATGAAAACTTGAGAAAGGAATATTGCATTTAAAAATATGTATATTTCTGGTCTTATAGGAAAGCCCTCTTAAAGCAAGCAGATTTTGAAATGGAATATATGTGCAGAAATAAGTCCAATGAGGTAAATATTAGCATGCTGCTGGATGCTGGGATACATCACTATTTTCCAGCAGATATCAAAGAGAATATATTCCTACATGAACACAAAGCTTGCCAACATGCATTTATATATGGTGTCGGCGAGGAAATTCTTTGTACTTCCTTTGAGTAGCTTTTAGCCAGAGTCCTACTGACAAGATAGAACTAGGCAATTTACACCAGTAGAATGCTTCTATCTCCCAGTCAGTAGTACTGTAATATCACAGACTATTACAAAATTCAGGACTGCAAAGTTAAAGACATGAAACCTTTATCGTCTTGCTAAAATACATATGAAAACTATGCACATGCTAAATTTGTGACATCCTACTACAAGTGCACATTCATCTTGCTGGGGCGGGGAGTATTTTTGAATGTTTGCCAGAGAAAGATTAAGCCCAACAAACCACATGCATGTAAAGAATATTAATATTTGCTGTTTTGAAAGCATCTTTCCCACCAGGTAAATTTTTAAGGAATGGGAAGAGGTGTCCTTTGGAACAGATTAGTTCAACTGAACAGAGCACCTGACCATCCCTGATACTGACTGTCTTCCTTAATGATGCTGTTACATAGTTGTGAGACCCAATTGTTCTTTTTATTGGGAGCCTCAAGTATATAGAGGGAAAAATGCCATCAACCAGTTTCTAGTGGCAGGAGAACTGCACAGATCTATACCAGTTTCTATGGAGAATATGCCAGAGGATAATTCGAGGGTCTCCTACCCCTCTTTCCCCAACTACCAAGACATATACTCTCAGACACTATATTCTATGCCACACAGATACTGTACACTTACAAGCACCCATGTCTTCTTTCAGATTTGAATGTGGGTGTAAAAGCCAGCATAAATAACCTCTACACCAAATCAGGATGGCAGTCCACAGAAAATATCCTATGCAGAATTAGAAAAAATCTCATAGTATGCAGTGTTTTTCATAAGAAATAATTCAAACAACAATTTAGCAACTGAAGAGGCTACGTAATTGGTCTATTTGAGATAATTCATTAAACCTCAAAAGTGCCATTCAAATATCATACATGCTCATATTCACTGACATCCAATCATACTCAAAAATTATCTGATATCAGACAACTATGAGAATCTCTGATATGACATCTCTGATAAGATCTTTTCTAGAAAAATGTGTTAAATCCTGTCATCAGGTTAGTTGACAGAAATTACACACTACTTAAAAACTGTTCAAAATGCCTACCAAATATTTACAGAAAATCATTTTTGGTTATTATGTAGCATTATAGCCTCTAAATTCAGATTTATTCAAACAGTGCATTTGGGTATTGTTAGGGCTAATCTTTAGAATATGGTAACAGGTAGTTTGGCGACATTTTGGTAAGGCGATAAAGGTTACTAGCTAGGACTTTAACAATATAATCTGAGAAGTACACAGTTCGAATCACAGATTATTTTGTCTCAGAGAAATAAGAGATTGAGACATGTAATGTGACATTTTCCGGAAAATTCTGATCGTGATTTTAGCTAATAAGCACTTAGAAACAATTTCGCTGCTAAAGTGCAGAATCGTCCACTTATTTGTTTGGCGCTTTTTACAAGAGTAAGAAGAATTGGATTTTTGTCAATATTCTTTGACTTTTTAAGTGAAAATTGGTCGATGTGTACATAGATAAAGTCAAGAGTGTGCGTAATGCCATTTTTGTGCAATTCTGGGATGTTTTTTTAAGGGAAAATAGGTCGACGTGTACATGGATACCGTGTACGGGCAATTCTTAAAAACGCAGCAAGCAGGCACTCTCAATTTCGCACCTAATCTTCGTTGTAATTAAGCATTTTTTCCCATAAAAGCTCTAGTATAAGCGTAATTCGGCTAGCAGATTGTTAGAAAAAATGTTGAGTTAAAAAAAAAAATGCCTTTATTTCGTGAAAACAAAATGCCGTCCAAAACAAAACTAGCAGGTTGCTGTAGTATGGTTGGTTGCCAAATTTTCGCCAAAAAATCGCTAAGTTACCATAATGTAAAGATTCACCATTGTGGGCAACATCAAAAACATCATCCTATGTAAAAATGGTTTCATCAGCCAAAATACAAATGCCAGAAATTTTCGTTGCATTGAACTCTGCTGCGTGAAAAAGTATAAAAATTCAGTGACAAGGATAATTTTCAACTCTTAATACACAAATCTTTTGTAAATGGTAAAGCTATAATTAAGCTTATAAAATTCTGCATGCAATTCACACTTATGTTCTATTCAAAAGCTCTCTTGTGATAGTCTATTACTTTAGATGCAATTCATTGCCATTTTCCTGTTCTTCTGATGGCTGCCAAACATGTTGCTAAAACTCCCTAACTCCTTCTGTATGCTGATGACTACATGTGCTACAACTATAAATGAAGGAAAGGCCATTTCAGTCTTGAAATGCCTGTTTAACCCCTTAACGCATTTGCCCGTGTCTCACACGGACGAAAGTTTCCGGCAAATTTGCACATGCCCGTGTCTCACACGGGCGCCCTCGTATCTCGCGTTATTTTATTTCTAATGCTTGTCTGAGATCTGTTCCAGTAAAAATAAATAGGCTATATTATAATTAAACTTATTTGACATAGATGGCACCACTATTCAGCATTTTTCTTGCGTAAACCACGTGGCGCATTTTGATTATTAGCTACAAGTTTGCTAGGAATTCTTTGCTATAAAGTAGTCGTTTGGTGTGGAAAAGGTAATATATCCATTTTTATTATGTAAATATAATAAAAGTAAGCAGTTAACTACAAATTATATTACTAAACGTTTTTGTAATTTAAAAAAAGTTATCTGATAATGAGCGACTCTGACGATGACAATTTTGAATATGCCAATTTATCAGACAGTTTCAGCGATGAGAGCGATGATTTCTTGAGTGATGGAAGTGAATCGGAAGATAATGACAACGAGATTTTGGATATAGCAAGGAATTGGTATCAAATTAGTATAAATCAACCAAACGTTGCACCACCGAGATTTCGATTTGAAGCTAACCCTAGCATGATTATGCAAGAAAAAAAATAGGTGATTTTTTGACCGAAAATTAGAAATTAATGTGTGCCTTAAGGGGTTAAAGGAACGGACTATAATACTGTTTTCGTTCTACCTTACATAAAATGTGCTTTTAAATCCAGTTCTCACACTTTTGACATCAAACGACATTTAATTTTATAACTACTATATTAAAATTTTATGCTTTAAAAAGCTATCAGAATAAACACTCAAAATTTTTATGATCTGATACTCACCAAGATGGAAGCAATTATAGCACAATCGGTGCCGTTCCACAAAAAATTCATATAAAAGATGCATATCCATTTCCTTGGCATTCACAGAAATCTGATATACCTTTCTATGATTAAAATTTGGCCAAGACGATACCCACGTATTTTGCATTTCAGAATAGTACAAAATAAAGTTAAAACAAAAATCAAATACTTTGAGTTTTCAGAAGTTTCAGAAGAGAATACATAATAAATGGTACATTATTTTTATAAGCAAACAAATATAATTATTTTATGACCAAATACCATTACAGCAACTTTGCTGATTTATTAAAGCAGTTAAAAAATTTTAAATTCATCACTGCTTTATTATAAAACAATAAAAGCATTAACCTTTCTTCATTTACTATTTGAAATTTCTTAGGCACATATCTTTGCATGTAAGTGACACTAACAGAAAAAAAGAATAGAATAGGTAGAAAAATCATTAAACATTTATATAGTACCTTAAACTAATGAGACAAATGTTTACAGCAATTGTTTAAGATCAAATGATTCCTTTCTTATTTCAACCAAACTTCCTTAGTTTAATTAAACTGAAATACGAAACTAAATTTGAAATAATCTTACAAACATTAAAATTTAAGTACCAAGTGCACTATAAAAAAAAATTATATCAGACAGTAATCAGTTTTTAAACCAAACCGCTAGTTTACTCTCCCCCCCACACACACAAAAATACACTTACTTCTTTTATCAGGTATTTTATTTTTTCACTATTTAAAACACACTGCTTGATTTCCTGTGGTGTTCGTTGTTTAGAATATCTGCAGGGCGGTACACTCCATGTTTTAAAAGTCCAACCAATATCACTCGTCTTACGCCGATCTTCCAATATGTCAATAAAAGTATCTCCGTTCAGTAATTCCATCGTGACATACAGGAGATTAAATCTTTCTGAAAGCTTGTCAATTACAAATCAGAGACATCTAAAATAAAAATAGATGAGATAATGGTATTACTACAGCTGGATAAATATAGCACTTTCAAACTGTTTCAAACATATTAAAAAAGTAAAAACCACTGTTTCAGATTCTCTTACGATATTTTCAATGCCTGATAATAAATAGCTATTGAATTTGTTTACAAAAATGACTAGATCAATTCTTAACTTAAACATAAACATATATTATTGCTCTATTTGAGAAATTGTCGTTTTCTCAACAATTCTACCGGCCACCAGTGCATTCTATATACACGATATATATATAAAATTTTACGATCAACACATACATCTAAGCTTTAATTTGCCCTTTTAAACATAGTTTAACCGAAGAAAGAAACAAAAAATTACTTAAATACCTCATCGTACCGGCAATCTTGACTCCGCTTCAAGTCAGCGTGCTACGCACTGTCACGTAAATTTACTTTTTAGTTGAACTTACAGATTCTTTGGTTACACATCTGAGATCATATTGCCCTAAACTCGCCAAATGCTAACCTTCTTCTAAATATAAAGGTTTCTTTGGTTAGATTATCCGTCAGAATAAAGTTTTCTGTTTATTATTCATACACAGAGTTTAAATTCTTTTATTAATTAGTCACTTGCGATAAATGTATATCTTTATATTCAGTCAAATTTTGAAAACTGATAAAAACAATTGTATTTCAGGCGATAAAGTAGCCAAATATAGGAATCCTACACCACAGTTAATTTGCTGTGATTGGATGATTGAAACACGCCACCGGGAAATTGTCCCATAACAGGTATTAAAATAATTCATAATAAGAATAAAATACTCCGTCTTCTGTCGTTAATACTATGGTGATGGCGATAAGGAGCGCGCCTTGCGCCCTCCGATAAGTGTGGCAACCCTAGAGGAGAAATTTCTTACGAGTTGCGAGCAGAGCGAAACAGGCAGGCTGTCGGGCAGTGTGCGCGAAGTTCCAAAATAAAGCTTAATTTTTTATTGTGCACTATGTCTTGTTAATATAATATTAATGCAGTAAGAACATAATCTGTGATATGGAATTCGAGGATTGGTGGTAAAAACATAACAGGAAATTACCATAATACGTTATAATAATGCGAGAAATTGAGTTTGGAAATTACTTCAAAATTTAAGAATTTAAACCGAATTAAAATTGGTGCTTTACCGTAAGTCCAATGGATTTGTTATTAATACTTTTTATTTTATCATTATATTGAACTTCAAGAGCGGAGTAAACGTTCTTGTGGAATAACATGACGTACTATATGCGGCTGCCTTTTTTTAATTTTAAAAAAATTGTTAAGTTTATATTAGCGTAAATACGGTATGATATTAAATTCAGTGACTGTATCTGCGTTTGGTATGTTCTACCACTCAGTGCCTTCCTAAATTCTATAAAAATGAATAAATAAAATAAAAAAAATAATGTCGCCTTTGGCGGCAGCCCTGCTGTATCTCAACATTCATGTAGTTTTTGTCGGCCATTCTTTTTTCTCTTAAGTCAGTTTAAGGAAACAAATTTATCCTTTTTAATGAAATGTATATTATATGCAATTTTTAAATGAAAAGTTTATTATTATGTTTATCTATTTACTAGTTATGCAAATAATACAACTTTTACTAGTTATGCAAATAATACAACTTTTATATTCATTTTAGTTAAACATTTTTTATTTAAAGTGTGCTACGTTTTATCTACTACGTCGTAAAAATAAAGCAAACTCATTGTTAACAGCTGGCGCGCAAACTGTTGTTCTGTAGCCGGTATTTGTAAAATTAGGCATCATAAACGTCTTTTATTATATTCTATTACTTGAAACAGGAACTTCAATGTAGTTACCACCGCCAGGATTGCCTCGTAACCGAGGGAACAACAGCCGCATCAGATGGTTCGAATCACCTAAGTTTCCTCCCCCCCCTCTCCATTTAGCGTTGCCCCTTCCGCTTAGCATACTTCGCTTCATGAAAAGCTAGCGAATGAAGACATTTGAAATACAGTGTCAAATGAGGCGGAAGAAATAAATGTTGTGCGGTAGTGACCGCAAATGAAGCGGCCTGTCAACGGCCTTGAAATGCCTATTTTAAAGCAATAAGCTGCAGTCGTATAAACTTTCATAAAATTCATCAGTTATGTAAATATTAAAAATTTTATTATTAAAATATGAGTGTATTGAAACTCTACTATTCAAATATGTCACAAAAATTTTGTAAGTATTATAAGTAAAATGGTTAATTACAATATTTTTAAACTACCCAGTTTGTTACACTGATAAGCAATGTAATGTTATCACTTGAAAGATAAACTAAAGACTTGGAATGACTACAACTTTCAACACTCAAGCAACATAAATTAATGAATATATCATTGGTGAGCATAGCGTAATGTGAAGCGAGGAATAGAAAAACAGCCATTCAAAGACAATGTCCAAAATTCTAAATAGCGATAGTTCGTCTCATGGCGCTAAATGAAGCTGGCTGTAACGCCAGTGAGCTTGAGTTCCAGTTCCGAATAGTAATTATTTTGCGGAATGGAGCCTTTTCGAAAGTGATATGAAGAATCTGACGATAATGAGGGCCACGAGATTCGCAGATTCTATCCAAGTTTTTCTTGATGAAAACTAAAACAGGGCTAGACGAATATCCCTCGTACATTAATAAGGCTCCTCTAATATATAGGAGCCTTATACATTAAGATGTAGGTAAAATAATTTAATCCCAGTACCTAACAGTCACGTGAATCATTCGAAAACGTTTTTTACTTTCTTGTGCAAATTAAAGGAAGTATTGTATTTTGGGTAACCTATTTCAGCAGAAACATCCATTTTGACAGTTCTCTAATCCATTTGGATAATTTTTTTTCCCCCATGGCATCAGTACATACGGACAGAATAATAAAGGACTCTTTTCCAAAATGGTTTGTAAAAAGGATTCAAAAGGGATTTTGTTTTCGTGACGTTTGTACATACGTATGGACAGACACACCGGGTGAAGGACCTCTCACCGAGGTCCTCATTATACGGGACCCATTAAGAGTTTGAAATATCCAACACCCGTGGGACCTCGTTCTCGCAGTCCCCGTCCGGCTTTTACTAGCATTGGCCAGAACGTTTCGTTGCTAATTTTAAAACGCTGTCACCTTACCTCCGGGCACCACTCCATCGGCAAAACCACATGCTCTGTCCGCTTTGTCAGTCCCCGCCACGAGAACTGAATGGGGTCAAACCCCCGGGAACTCAGTCGACAAATGCACCATGTAGCTCCACCACAGCCGAAGGAACAGACACGACAGTACCAGTACGGTCCCTGCCAAGCCTGAACCAACCTGAGTACAATACTTGGGTTCTAGTCCTGTGAAGATAATTTGTATACCCCCGTGGTTGAGACTGCCTAGGTACAGATCCTAGCCAGTACTTCCCAGGCGTTCGCCTGTGTCAACCCCCGGGGGGACATACGTATGGACAGGGTATCTCGCACAATTCAAAAACGATTAACCGTAGAACGTTGAAATTTTGTATATGGGACTGCTACAGCATCTAGTTGTGAATCGCCATTTTATATTGCAGTCGGCAGTATCAAATATATATATGGTGTTTCAGAAATTAGGTTACAAATTTTCAGGAAAGATAATGCACACTCAGTCGATGGAAAATCATACAGCAATGCATGATCGGACACGCTTTCCTGACGCGGTAGAGACAACTCAAAACACAAGAAAGGATGGACACCAGCGGGTGAGAAAACATGTTTATTATGCTCAGTGCAGCTAAAATGTTGGGAATGCTAAATTTTTGCATACATTAACAGTATTGATGTGCGTCTTCAACTGAATGTAAATATTCTTAACATTGGATCGGCAGTGGTGGTCAGGCGCATTGGCCAGCAAGATTGCTATACCTCACTTGCATTGACTACTTTCTCTGGGGGTACAACAAGAAACTGGTGTACGCTGACACTTGTTAACAGTGTTCAGAAACTTGTTGCATGCAGCGGGGTAGCAGCTGGGGAAGTCCGGAGCATTTCAGGTATTTCCATAACATCAGATCTTCCATGCGTTGGAGATGTATTGGGTTGGAGGGAAAGTTCTGTCGTATTTTAAAGAAAATATTTGAATTCATTTATAAAAATATGTGTTTAATATTAATCAATTATATATGCTCCGTTATTTGTTACAACCTGTTGCCATCTTTCCAGGTAACCTGTAAATTTCTGTTTTGTAGAAGTTCATCCATAGTTAAAATAGTCAGCAACTGTTAGAAAACACTTTCAAAAGACTTGAATTTTTTTCCGTTAGATAATTTTGCAGAGATTGAACAGGTAATAATCAGATGGTGCAATGACAGGTGAATACGGTGGGTGACTAAGGACTCCCCATCCTAACGCATTCACTTTTGTTGTGTCACCGTTGCAGCATGCGGTCGAGCATTATCGTGATGGAACGCAGTATGCGGGCGACTATATCCTTTTCTGGACGCTAATGCTGGCTTTTTTTTCTTTGATAGCTGCATTCAATTTATCCAGCTGATTTGCAGTACAGATCCACGTTGATGTTTTTTCCTGTTTCATCAACTCGTAATACACTGGACCTTCCTGTCCCACCACAAACAAAGCAGTACTTTTCGTTGATGGATACTTGGTTTTGGAACTGTTGCTGATGATTTTCCTGGTTTGCAGTAAGATTTTTTTTTCTTTTAATATTCTCGTAAAGAATACCTTTTCATCTCCAGTAACCAGCCTGTCCAAAAACGGCTCCACATTGTGTCTAATCAGATGTGATGAACATATTCTTAACGATCAGACAAATTCTTTTCCGTTAATTCATGTGGAACCCAAACACTTTGCTTTAACACAAACCCAAGAGATTTAATGTGATCTCCAACAGTTGTATGATGAATGCCAAACTCTTCTGCAATTTCTCGACTTGTTAAATGTGGATTATTTCCAACATGGATCGCAAAAACATCATTATCGATCTGGATGGTCGTCCAGATCGAACACTTTCTTTGAGGCTCAGGTCCCCGGAACGAAATTTGCTAAACCATCTTTTTGACAAGTACGAACATTTACAATATCTTTTCCAAATACCGCACATAAATTTTTACATGTAACAGATGCGTTGCTTCCTTTTTGGAATTCATATAAAATGCAGTGTCCTAAATGCACTTTATCTACCGACATGTTTTTCCCTTTAATATTACAAGTAAATGATGAACGGTAAAAAGGGCACCTTTTTATATATACAGCAGCTAAAAAAACAAAAAAAAAAAAAAAAAAAATCCGATTGACTCACTAGCCAGATGTTTTTTTTATTTACAAGAAAAATCACTTGCCTATTTAAAATACGACAGAACTTTCCCTCCAACCCGATAAAAGGCTTGCACCACAGTCCGAGGTCGTAAATTCGATGTCGTAAAATTTAATTCTTTCTATGATGACGACTGTCGTTGGTATTGGTTTATATTTATTGATTTCTGCTGCACTAGGCATAACAAACATTTCTCATCTTGCTCGTGTCCATCCTTTCTTGAGTTTTGTGTCGTCATTACAGAGCCAGGAAAGCTCTTCTGACCATGCACCGCTCTGTGATTTTCCATTGTTCAGGTGTACTATATCTCTTCTCGAAGTTTGTAACTGAAATGCTGAAATACCCTGTAAATATCTGTCGAATAAGAAGGGTAGTATAAAAGTTCCTAGTAAAAACATTTCCGAACCCATCATCTTCAAGATTAATGCTCAGAATAAAGTTTCACAAATGAAAGATAAATTGCTCAATTTTAATTCAATAAAATCATTC